GATTCCAGTTACTGCTAAACGAAACACTGAGCTCGCAAAAACGGTTTATTACAGCGTCAAGGTATTGTAATTAACTAATTAGACAGATATAGGACAGTGCATGACATTAATTTGATCCTGGTTAATTAAATTTCATCATTCTTCTCATTTGTTAACTTACAGTCGCAAATACATGAATTTCTATTCTAAGTTCAAAAGGTGTTTCAAATGGTATCACAAGTGGTATTTCATGGTCATTGTGTTCTAATTTTCTATACACAAGTCATTACAAGTAACTGAGTATGCTTTGGATTTATTTCTACCTCTTGGTTTCATAATTGGTAATTCCCAGGGAGTAGTTAAACAATGCTTACTTATTTCAAAAGCATCTTGGATAATATAATACTTAGGGAATTCGACAATTAGAAATGAGTTTTTCTAGAAAATTAGAATATAATTTGTCAAGGCTTAAGTTTGTTACCAAGTACTAAGAAGTAGCTGCTCGCGTGAACGCGTTTGATCAACAACTGCATTATCCCTCGGGCACGGTCGACTACATCTCCGGTCGTGTGTTCCTAATTCGAAGGTAGAATGCACATTGTTTACGACACAGTATCCTAAGAGCAGATCGGAGCGGAATTCGTAAGCAGGTGATGCCTGAGTAGTGTACGCAATCCATAAATGTACGAGCTCCGAATGTGAATAACACACGTCTATGCAGTAGTTTCTACATTTCTTAAAATGCTCTGAAAAAAACAAAGAAGCTCTGCATCGAAAATATATATTACAAGTATTTACAGTAATTCGTTCTAAATTAAATTTTTATTATTGATCTTCATTGTTTTTTACACAAATCATTACAAATAAACCCATTAAGTAAATTAAATGCTTAAAAAACCCTCATTATAAATAATATCCATAATAGAACTTGAATGATGTTATTAAGAATTGTCAAAGAGGGGCTATAGGTCAATTAAATGGCATTATCTTTCACATTTAATTTCAATCGTGCGGAATTTCATTTAAAATAAAATAATCAGGTATGTTCCACACCATTCATATGAAGCATATGCTTTATTCAAATACAAAATCGTAAAGCTTTTTTTGGAGAGCCCCTCATTTATTTCAAAACCGAATTATCATTTAAATTATTGAATTCCTATCTATCGATAACAAATAGTTGGCATTTCAATCGTGGAAGAATTTTAGAACATAATCCTCAATGAGAATTAAAACAATGGAAACCAAATGAAATTTAATGGATAATATAAGTTTCATTTAATCCTGTTCGTTAAAATGATTAATTACAAATTAAGATAGAAAAATCATTAGATATGATCTGGGCAGAACAAAAACATGTGTATTAAAGTTTTCTTCTCAATAAATAAACAAATAACTTGCCCAGACCACATTGGACTTAATCCTTGAACAATTTGGAACAGTCTTATATATCTATCTATATCATTTCTGTATTCTGTTCTTTTATTCATAATTGCCGATTTTCAAGTAACTCGGTTTGGAAAATGCTGCGAACGACGCGAAGGGTGTTCACAGTTGGAATCTAATAGAGGATTCTTCCGATGTAGGTCACGTTCGCGTCTCAACGTTCCATGAAATCACTTCGAATAGATGTTACAATATGTACTGTTACAGTAACGGTAATATAATATAGATGACGAAAGGTAAAGAAAATTCTATTTCTCTAACGTGGGATTCAAGCACGTATACCCCAGCAGTGAAAGAGCGGAGGATTTCTCGTCCATAAACGCGCCGCAGGAATGTGTCATACATATGGTCAGACATACCGTCGTTCGATCAATCAGTGTCGTGGATCGACAACTAGACAAACAAATGAAATTGCAACGAACTGACTCCGAAAATGACAGATGAGAAATCGATTTGGTTTCCGAAAATATTTAGTAATATTTGAGGTGCAAAGAATTTTACTTTTTTAGGAGTATCATATGACAATATTTCTATGGTAGACATTGATATTAAGGAAACAAACGTTTATTAAGAATACTAGATTAAAAATTGTAAATAATGAATTAGATTTTTATAATAATTTTATCATTAATTGTACTTTTAGTAATATCCAATTTAGAATTGAAGGGTAAATCTAGAAGGAATTTAGAAGGAAGGATCTGTTTAAAAAAAAACCGTATTCGTCAAATTTGATATATCAATAAAGGACCTTAACTTTAATTAGAATCTTATATTTATTTTACTTTTGTGCCAACTTCTCAGTTTCTCTGCAGTATCCTAAAATACCCTAGATCGAAATAAAATTTTTATTTTTGCTATTTGATTACATTTTCAACGATACCTAAAGTTGTCAACAAAAGAAAATGGACAATGATGCGCACACAGGACTGAAGATCATCATTCATTATTCGAGCAAAATACAAAAGAGTAAATAATCTGCATAAAACGTGACATCATGTATTCATATAAATGGTACAGTTTGAACTGAAAAATGTAAACGTGATCTGAATGAAAGGTTTGCATTTAAATAATTGCCCAGTCAGATTTCGAGGGAAATGACTATATTATCGTACTTTACGCTGCGTTCTTTGTTCTACTTGCATACAAAACAAGGTCTTACTTTTTCATTAAAATGTTTGCCGCTTAATAATACTCAACTACGGGAATTTTCACCGTTAATAAGACGTGAAATTAAGAAATTGCCACGAAGAATAATGCAGCAAGTAGGGGAACAAGGACATGGCAAAATGGGGTCACGCGAATATCGTGGTGTAAGCACCGCGTTTTGTAGGACAGGTCAGGACGCGTCCATGGTTGAAATGACGGTCGCGATTTTATTCTTTCGTTTGTGCTTCGCTACTCTCAAATTGGCGATACTCGGAAAACGAAACCAGATCAGTGCACGAAAAAAACTCATCACGAGAAAATTATATTGAAACGTTACTGGGCAAAAGGCACAAGTAGAATGTTCATTTTATCATGAATTTACAAAATATTCTCAGTCAATACTTTCCATTATTTTTAAAAGGGATATTTGTATATTCTATGATCTATTTCATATCCTTTATAGTTTTTGTATATTGTAGGATCTATTTCGTATTTATCTGTTTCATATTACCGTTTGTACATTTTCATATTTTTAAAAATTGTATGATTATCCTTGCGTTATTATGTGTATTTTTTGCTGCTTGTTCTTTAAGGACATAAAACTACTTAAAAAGGAGTACATATGGATCTGCCTACTTTAAGTATTTTTTTGTAACGAAAATTGTACACAATATCTTCTATTTATTGAATTAATAAAATGTTTACAACTACATTGAAAAACTAATAATCGCAATATTTTATCTGGCAACTTATACACTTAATAACAAAAGGAGCAAAGTCTAAATGAATTTTCAAGCTTTCTATTTAAATTAATTTATAACCTGTTTATGTTTTCTAATGTCTCTTAAACAAATCAAATATGATTATCGTTTTCCTCCTTACCTTCATTCATTTTTCAGACAATTAAAAAACCAGAAGAAGACCTGGACGATTGTTTATAAGGACATTCTCCTATTGAATTAATAAAGTCCTTATGACTACTCTAAAGAACCAAAACAATTACACTATATAGTCTCTCGCGCTGTCCATCCAATTCAGAAAAGATTAAGATGCAATTGAATCTTTTCATGTTAAAACTTTTATCAATCTTTTGAAAGTGTTTCATTTAGATTAAGATGTATCCCAGATGAGAAAGGAATTCTTCATTTTTCACAGGGAAGACTTCTGCCTCGACGCGCAACGAATAAGATGACATCCACTCGTTCCCCTTCGTTCGTTTTCCTTGACTGATTGCTTTGCGTCAGGGGCGTCAAATCCATCGAGTCACCGTTTCACTTTGCTGTAAAATTGATCGGCGCTGATCAACCGAGACAGCGCTGTGTTGCTAGGATTGAACCATTTCATTCCTTTTTGGTCGCGATATTTATTGTAGCCATCCGTAACGACGCGCGCGGCGCGGAACGTTCGGAAGAAACAATTTAGTCCTCGTATCGTTGAACGGTCGCAACAAATTGCACCAGTATAGGCGGCACGTTGCACCGCGCCATTGTTTCGAGTGAGGAACAATGCGAATACGGTTATATTAAGTCCTCGATTCACGCGGTTAGATCGTTCTGCTTTCCTTGCTAGCTGAATTATTGAATGCATACGTTGAATGATTTAAGTGCAGTAGATGATCAAATTATTAGAAGATAAAAAGTTTGAGGACGAAAGAAGATTCTTCTGTTTTAGAAAAGTGTGCCAGTGACAGCCTCTAATATTTTGAAAGTGATAGCAATATATATTGAATAGTTATTGAATAATATGTGCCAGGGAGATATTTGTTTGTCGAAGATTTTTTTGTTCTTAGTGTCTCGAATTCTTATTAACAATGTTTTCAAAGAAAAATTAACTCAATATACAAATTTGCAACCAATGAAAATTTAAATTGACCCTTTTTATATGGAGACAATTCAACACATAATGTACTAACCCTAGTGAGGATTATCATTGTAATTTAAGTCTGATGGCGATTGAATATCATTTAATCATACATGTTCTTCGTATCTCAAATAATTATTGGAAAACTGTCTAATCGTTATTACTGTATTTCTTATGTTTCAATGCTTATTGTCTAATAGACTGAACATTTAAAAATTTTTAAATTCTCCTCTTAAATTGTTAAAGGTACTCACTGTAATATGAGGAAGTTTAACCTTTTTTTTTATAAATTTCGAGCTCTCAACTTTAAATCCGCCAGTTAAATTGATCTAGAGCTTATAGTTTTTCAAAGAATTGCAATAAAATTCAATACGATATCCTTTTTCCTATTCTCTTCCAGACGAAGAATTTCCTTGACCTCTATTTTCGATTATCCAATTCTGTTCCCAAGTTTCTCGTTTCTGCTACGAAGAATATAATTTGTGCTCGGGGTATAAGATTTCAACAACCCCTGAAAAATCGTCGAAACGCTTTGGAATGACGACGATCGATGTCCACTTGTGTTTCAGCAATCCTGAACTCGCTGTGCAAGGAGTTTCTGCCGACGAACGTGTCAGCCATCTTGTACCTGATGAACTACGAACAATACGGCCGAAGCACTGCCAGTGCACAATACTTTCTGCAATTGGCTGGCTATCTTGGAATCCCAGTGATTGCATGGAACGCCGATAACTCGGGATTAGAACGGGTGAGTCGATGTTGCCCACTCAAACGATCCCTTTTGTTTCTGCATTCGTGTAAAGTGACTACTTCTTCGATATACATCAACAAACCTTACGCTCAAACAGAGATTCATTAGAATAGCACGTGGCAAATATAAAACAACTTTTCGTAGCAATTTGTTCGCAACTTTCCTTCGATTAAACAAATATTCGGATAAGTTGCCAGCATCTTTTTAAGCTTCTTGCATTAATACAACAATTTTCAAGCTTCCTTCAAGTGAAACATGATTGATTATAAGTTTGATTGAGCAAGTCATGGTATCCAAAATATTTACACTGTATTTAAACTTTCTTGGGTTATTTTGCTCGAGTAGGTGTTGAAAGTATAGTGTAGGAAAAGCGTGAGGTATCTTTGTAGATTTTACGAGTAACAGCAGAGTATTATTTTATATTTTAAATAATATTGTATACATCTAATTGTTATATTTATGTAATGAATATACATCGTCAGTTAGGTAATACTTGGTTCTTACTTGTGATATTCATCAAAATATTGTACCATACAGTTATTTTTTAATCCTAACACAAAAATTTTATCCAGACAAAATTTTTACCCATCTCTGCAACCGAACATCTTCTTTTGTCATAATATTCATAAAAACTGCAGTAAAACGAAACAAACTCATGTTCGGAATACGTCAAATGAAAGTACGAAACTTTCCAATTCGTTTTCCTTGGATCAGTTAAAGATATAGCTTCGACTTTTTATTATACGTCATTGTACGCTATTCGACAGAGAATTTTTATAATATAGACGAAACTGTAACGTCGATTGTTAAAGGAGATTTGAGAGTATACGTTTCTCAACTTTGAATTCGTCTCTAATTTAAACTAGAAAAAAATTGCAATTGTTAGTTTCTAGTCTTTAATTCGCAACGAACACTGTCGCGAGGTTTTAGAATGTAGAATGTAGAATAATTAGAGTGTTGAGTGAAATCAAACTTGATTGACTATTGCCATAGAGGATTCAAAGCTTAAAATTTAAAAGAGATCAAACGAATTATTGAGTTTAGGTCACATCCAGTTGATTATTTCACTTGAAAAGGTTAATCGTTACTTGCATTATTTTATGTAATCGTTTAATAAAATCGTCACATTTCAATTCAGAAATTAATGTTGAAAATACCTATAGAATATAATATCGGTATGTTTTTGCTTCCATATCACGGTAGAGGATCTTAAAACAAGTTCAACGACCTATTGCATAAGGTCATAGAAAGTAAACTATACTGTAAATTTAGCCTCAATAGGTCCAGTAGATTTTATATATAAAGATATGAAGGAATGAATTTTCACAAACATCTACACTTTGTATATCAAGATGTCATGTCGGTCTAATTCAAACCTCACAAGATACGTCACATGGTTACGTAGTTCCTGGCGTACCTTATTGAATTGTCAGTTGATTAGCATCATGCTCATCGCTAACAGGTTCAGCATGGTTATTATGGGTATTCATACGAAACATCTCGTGTTCCTGGTGCTTTCAGAGAGCCTCGCAGAGCAACCTGCAGCTGCAGCTGGCGCCGTCGTTGGAGCACCAAACGGCCGCGATGCTGAGCATCCTCGAGAGGTACAAATGGCACCAATTCAGCGTAGTCACATCGCAGATTGCCGGCCACGACGACTTCGTGCAGGCGGTCAGAGAGAGAATCTCGGACATGCAGGACACCTTCAAGTTCACGATATTGAGCGCGGTTCTGGTCACCGAGCCCCACGACCTGCTGGAGTTGGTCAACAGCGAGTCGAGAGTGATGCTACTCTACTCGACTAAGGAGGAGGCCACTCACATACTGACCGCCGCCCATGATTACCAGATCACCGGGGAAAATTACGTGTGGGTGGTCACCCAGAGCGTCATTCAGGACTTGCAGACGTCTAGCCAATTTCCGATCGGAATGCTCGGTGAGTCGAGGTCGCTTTTTCTACTCTGATTAAGAAGTGGTGTTCAAGTCTAGAAGGTCAATTTCGAAGTATTTTGGGAGGTTTTCAGCTTTGAATTCATGAGGAATTTTTGTGTATGGTATTGCATACATGTAATTTGAAAATATATACAGGGTGTTCAAAAAAAAGCATTCAATATTTATATGGCGTATAGGGCACACTGTACTGAGTAAAAAAGCTTTAGTAAACATAGGTCCAAAGGTCGACCGTTTCTGAGATATAAACATTTTTGTTTGCTAGTATCATGATTAGACTGCAAATCTTTATGCATTTACAGGAAATTTGAATTTGCAAGAACTTACAAAATGCAAACAATATGCAAGAACATAAAAAAGATTGAAAGTAAAGTTCATGTTGTGATACTTGCAGAATAAAATAAATTCTTATTTCGATTCAATTTTTGTAGGTACGTTTGCGAAGATTTTATTTTGCATAAAGATCCGCAGTCTAATCATGAGTGACTTACTACTGGGTTTTCGATATTTATAGAAGATTTTCCACTTGTCCACCGCTCGTTTCTGTACACGAACTTGAAAAAATGAAATTGACGAAATTGTCGGCACTTGAATGGGAACATTCAGAACCTAATTTATAAACACTGACATAAACATCGCATGCGATGGAAACAAGTAAGTCAATCATGATACTAGCAAATAAAAATGTTTATATCTCAGAAACGGTTGACCTTTGGATCTATGTTTACTAAAACTTTTTTACTCAATACAGTGTGCCCTATATACCATATAAATATTGAATGCTTTTTTTTGAACACTCTGTATAATCTATTTTTAATGAAAGTGATTAAAATGAAAGAAAATACGCATTTATGCATTTATAGCAACTGGAAATATAAAAAATGTATGAGGATATGGATATATTTATAAATATATAAAATATCAACGATGAAATATGTTGCACTGTTTAAAAGATAACAAGTACGTTCGTTTAAATTTTATTTATTTATCTATATCTATAGAAATATAAATTTGCATGAATATTCATAGTCTAGTTATGAAGAAGTCACATTTAAAATTTTTCATACCAGACATGTGAATTCGTATACAGTTCTCCTAATTTTTCCAATAGAATCCTTTGGCAAGTATATTTTTGAAGGCACACACTTTGAGAAAATGCAAAGAAAACATACATTTTTTAATAATTTATGTCTATGATATCCCCTTCACTTTAGAGTCCACTGTACAACACGGGAAATGTTAACAAATAATACAAAATGAAGCCTGAACAAGCTTTCTATTTGTAGGAATATGTATCCATAAACTATATTCATTCTAGTGGCACCTCGTTAGAAATCCTTTCGAGTATTTCATTAGCTGATAAGCCAGCAATGGTTACGTGAAATTCTCGCAAAAATAAGGATAGCTCTCAGGAATTCCTCGATGCATTTGTTGGGATCGGAAAATCAATGAGACAATTCTTCAGCTGCGATACGCTTGTAGTAAAATCCATCGTGCCCGTAATATTTCAATACTTCCGCCTTGAGAACGCAAGAGATTCGAGAAAAGCATGTAGTGTTCGATGTGTTCCTGCCGGTCAGAATTCGATAAATTTATACGCTCTGGAGGGCAACCGAGACGGAATCTCGAGAAAGGCATCAATTTCCGATTTCCGTGATTTCACCCTGCTTTTGAATGTCTTCTTCAACGACTGGCCACTCGAGGTATCGAGCGCTGCTCGTCCGCGAGAAAAACGCCAACAGAAACGAAAACCTTTCCATTACCTCTTCGAGAATTAAAGATAACAGGAAAAGATCCTTGGATGTTTCCATTAATATCGAATTTTGTGTGAAACTGTTTTTATAAAATGATTATTTGTCAATTACATTCATGAAATGATTTTTGGTGAAATTATTGTCATAAAGGAATTGTTTGTTAAATTATATATCCGATATAAACTTAATGAAAATTCCAGTTTAATACAATAGAGCTTGTGCTATTAAAATCAATAACAATAGATGTAGTCGTAACAAACTATTGACTTTATTTTGTTTCATTTACTCCCTTTTATCCAATAAACTTATTATTTTCGTTTAACGTTCCAAATTAACCATTTTTGGCCGTATCCAAAACTCACAAAACAGAATAATCTATAATAAAAAGAAAACGTATTACACTACTATATTAATTCACTATGTAAGAATTTTTCATTTTATATTTCAGTGTATATAAACACATATTTTTGTACGCGCTGATTTTTTATTTTGATCATTCGGAAACGAGCCTTAAACAAAAATATCAATTAACTTCTTACCACCACATCCACCTCCAGTCATCCACTTCAGAATTAATAAGCACACCATTCGAATATTTGAAACTGAAGACGCTTCACAAAGGCAGTAACTACACACAAAATTCCTTTACCGTTGATTTTTCTTATAATTCTGTTCAAACATTCGCACAATTGCGACAGAACTTTTTCTCCAGAGTTCCTGATGAAGAGTTCCCCTCGTTGTCGCCATCTACAGTACTCCTGTATTCAAACAAGTCAAAGATTAACTTAACTCGAGTAGAAGATTGTCCCGATTCATTTGTCCTGTTAATAAGAAATTTTCTATTACAACATCGCTTCGTTGTTACTATTTTGTTGCCTCTGGAAGGAATTCCAACCTCGCAAAGTATGAAACGGTAACATTCAAAACACAGGTCTGTTTGTATCTACAGATTCATCGGTTTTCAAAGGCACCCACCTGGACTTGTCATCGAGATATCGTATACCACTCATTAGGAGTTCAAAAAGTGAAAACAATTCGTCACCCACGTTCAGGGCGGCTACAAACGTAAATAGAAAAAAACGTGAGATTCACAAGACACAGCAGCTAACACGGAAGCTATCAATCAATGTTATTCGAGGTGTTGTACAGAACTGAACTCTAAAAAAGATAGCTTAAAGTCACTTCGGTTGAATTAAAGTATTTTATGAATTATTGTTTTAACGATTACTTTTAAAATGTGTTTTCATAAAATTACAGCATATTTTGTATAGAGATTCGCAATTGGGTCGAAATTACTATTGATATTGGATTAATATTTATTATTTGGAAACCAGAGTTTGTTTTACATGAATAACCGTTTAATCGAATGAATGTCGCAGAAACATCGATGCAAATTGATTTCATTCGTCTACCGTTAGGACCAGTTTTTGCATATTTGTGTTCAAAGGGATCTGATTGGAATGAAATTCAAATGTAAATCTGACTGCGAAAAAAATTATTCACTTAGAGTCTTTGATCTATCTAGTGCAAACGTGGTATACAGCCATCCATGACATTTGTTTATAACGCTGTAAACCTTTTCATTCGTAAATTGTTAGAAATCGCAGATAAAGATATTTGCCTGTATATCACCTGCATATTACATGGAAAAAAAATTTATTAATTATTAACTGACCATTGACATCGCCTTTCATTCGTTACATTTATTTAACATGGAGGCCTTTCGAATAATACATGAACTGTTATTCGAATGTACCTTGTTCAATAATTGCTAAAGATTTATCAGTATACGTTGTTCAGGAATAAATTCTAAACATTTATTCGTATATGGAATAAAATTTAGTCGTAACTTTATTCGTACACGAAATAAAATTTGTACAACTCTGGTATTTAATAAAACACGCAATAAATTGTTCGTTGATAGAAGAAAACGAGAAATTCGTTTGTGATTTATTTACTTACCAGTTTGTGGATTGAATGTTTTTCCATCTGTCGATTTACATTTACGTTCTGCCATGTGTTTTTCATTTTGTTAAACGTTGGAGGATGGTGAATTGTTTCGAAAGGAATTTAATTAAAGTCACTCGAATCAGCTGGAAACGACCTCGTCTGCCACCTGGTGCCTCCTCTTTGTGTCAGTTTTCTGTGTCCTTCGACACTGGGCTGTACTGCTCGAATTTATTTCTAATTGAAAGGCATTTTCATTTCATTTGCAACGCATAATGAAGAAAATTCAGGATGAAATGGCAAAATGTCTGTACATCTCTGTTCTCATTATTGTAACTGACGATAAATATTTGAAAGAAATGCGATGGCATATCAAAATGAACAAAATATTAACATTTAGCGGTCCCTTGTTTTAAATTAAAATGTCATAAATATCACTTTATATATCTATATACGAATAAACAAACGTTGTATTTCAGTTTTTTACTCCCATCTTCAGATCTGATTAGATTTTAGACAGAATTGGTCCATAGACTATAATAATTACTTTTCATAATTTTTGGTTATTCTAATATACATTCGTTGTTAGTTATAAAAAAGTTATAAAATAAATTATTGCAATCAATCTTAAATAAAACTAAATTTTCCATAAAAGAATCTAATAAACTTTCTCTTTTTTTTTGTATAATTGTGATTGAAATTTAAAATCAAATGTTCTAAAATTTAATTTATAAAAATTTAATACAATCTAAAATTTAAATCTATTTTATTCTCAAAAATTAACGGCTTAAATACAAAATCTCAATCGATATTTCGTTATTCTTGCTTTTTCTCTTATTTTGATATGTAAAACCATCCTTTATAATATTCACCATTAATACGTAAATTGCAGTTTTCCTTTCCAGTTTTTGTCAGACTTTCGGAATATTTAATCGCATGCACACATCAGTTTCCAAAATTTCATCCTTTATTTCCCTTGTATCAATTCTGTTTCCAGGTGTGCATTTTGATACACGCACGGATAGTTTGGTAAATGAAATCACGACAGCAGTCAAGGTTTATGCGTATGGCGTCGAAGACTTTCTGAACGACAACGAGCACCTGAGTCTAAACACTCAGCTCAGCTGCGAGGAAAACTTCGGGGAATCACGCTGGAACACTGGGGACCTGTTTTTCAAGTAATTATCTTTCCTTCAATTAAACACATTCCTTAATTGACGTAACTATTGTTAAACAACTTCGTGTCCGTATTTGTCAGTCGTTCTTAATCTTTTTAAACTAATAACTATATATAAAAATAATATATAAGATATGTAAAAGAACTCTCGATACTTAAAATTATTTGATGAAAATTAGACAGAGTTTGGGAAAAATTAATGTGAAGAGTAGTCTGATGTTATACACTTCTTGAGCGACAATTTCGTTTCCTTCTTGCGGGCAGATACTTGAAGAACGTGTCGGTGGAGGGTGAACACGGAAAGCCAAACGTAGAGTTCACTCAAGACGGTGTTCTGAAAGCAGCGGAATTGAAGATCATGAATCTTCGTCCTGGCGTGAGCAAACAACTCGCTTGGGAGCAGGTGAGTTCAAACATTGCACGTGTTTTCAATGTTTCAAAACGCGCCCTGACGTTCAAAGAATTTGCGATTTTCTTACTTCTTCTATCCCCAGGTGAACCTAGGATAAACCATAATGGTTCCATTTCTTAATTACTTATAGCTTATACTGCTTTTCTCAATTATTAACCTCTACTTGGTACAATTGTAGCTATTCTATATACAATTATAAGATATCAAAAATATCCTAATTCATTAAAGACCTTACCCAACAAGTATATTAAAAAGAAAATCTATATTTTTTACCACAAGTAAAATACCCCCTTAAAGTATGGTGTTCAATCAGCCTGAGAAACCTGTAATAGAAATGGTTACAACTTTGGCAATTGTGGAATTTTTTAAATATATTTTAGTAAAAATAGTTTTAAATCCTTAAACAAGTAGGAATATTAACGAAAAAAAATCTTTATTTGAACCCAGAGAAAAGTGTGCCCCCTTAGTTGTTCCCTGTAAAGTATAAAATTCCACGTTTTAAAGATTCATTTTTATTCGTCTGACAACGCGGAAAAAGTTGTTTCTGCTCGTTAATCGAAATTCATATCCAGATAAGAATTTTGCCTGTGGTTAAGAATCACTGCTGTCGAGAAACCGTTAACTTCGACATAGCAAACGTCGATGCTCCGAGCGAAGCGTACGCAGAGATCAGCATAAAGTATAATATGCATGCTGGAAATGCGGAAGGGATCTGGCAACCGAATATGGGCTAACGGGGGATTCAGGTCTAGAAATATCAGATTTACCCAATTGTGCGCGAGCATACAGATGAGACATGGAACAGTGAAACGGTGAAATCCGCTGTTCGAAACGAATGAATGAAAACACATTCGTTAACCAGCTGTGTGAACCATGTTGTCTGTTTTTCTTATACACGATGCTATTTTTATAGTGTGAGTACACAAATGGATAGCTCCATCGTAAACTGTTTACATACGCTGCAGAATATAAAAACAAAAGATGAATCAATCTCGATCCTGTGCTGTTCATTCCTCGTCGGTTTAAATTAATGAAATAGTATTCGCCTTTTACATTGTAATGTAGTAGTTGATTTTGAAACATTGATGAGGTGTGTAGGTGTATATTTAGATGACCTATCAGTAAATAGGACATTTCATAGTTCAAATATAGAAATAGATAATTGATCATAGAAATGAATGCACCGGAGACCATTATTAATCCTTAATGATAAATCTAAAATAAGGAGGTATTTATGTAAAATGATTTTATACTTTTCCATAGTACTAGAACATAAGGAACATGAATTTCAATATGATCTATTACATTTTGAGAAATTGTACAGTGAAGAAATCAACAATTATACATAATGCAAAATATTTGAAACTATTCTAAATCCGTCTTGCAATAAGTGTAACAATTACAATAATCATTTTAAAAACTATATCCAAATACGAAGCAAGAGGATATGTATCTAAGGTTAGTTTAAAACTTGAAATTATAAATAAAAATTGAATAATAAACAAAGTTATACAGAATTTTTGTGGAAATTATTCGTTGTACGAATACTTTCTACACCTGCCAATATGAAATACTCTTATAACAACTACTTTCTCGATTTTCTCTGTGCTTATTGGTCGAGATTTTGTAAGTACCGCGATGAAGAGACGAATTGTAGTGGTAAAATGTTTCTGACGTTCCTGCTTGGAAAATGTTTCCAAGTGAAACCTTGGGAACAGCAATTGTCTCGTGTTTACTCGATGGCAACCAGATGTTGCCTTGAAAGTCCAGGCATCTGGCCACCGAATATTGGAAAATATTTCCTAGAAAAACCCCTTGCAAACTCCGTGGCCAAATTTGTCTCATGATATGTTAAGGAGTATTGGATTTCCTAACACGTATATCACAAATAATAACTTCCAAACTTCTGGTTTCATAACGTATCTCATACATTTATATTTTTAATTCTACATATTAGGTACGTACCGAATATTGACTTTTACAAGCAGGAATTTATAGTCCAAATTTGGAAAATTTTAGATAAATATGTTAAGTCGTGTAACTAATATTATTTAAGACTGTGTATACCAAAGAGCAAAGAAGGTGTTAAACAAGGAGAATACACATTCATGAAAGTGTTTTGTCTTGGGTTTGTCAATGGGTTAATCGATAAAGCTATGCTAATAAGTAGACTGCAAATATTTATGCAAATTTTTACAGATTCAGATGAAGAAATGAGATTTAAATAAAAATATTTCTTTTCTTGTAAACAGTGTACCACGTATATCATTGTTGATATTCTACACATTTTGGCATTTACATGAGATTATGCACAATCTCATTTTCCCACATTTTCACTCGCCATAAATGCATAAACATTCACAGTAAACTAATAAGCATCCTCTCGGTTGGCAAATGTCCTTGGAAAAGAAATACAGATTTTGAAAGATACGCAGCGTATAAACTAAACAAAATGCACAATTTATTACATTTTCTACCGCTATTTAAAATACGCAACTTTAAAAATTTGAGTTTAATATAATTTGTCCCCAAGGTGCACCTGTGAACTGGTTGTGTCTAGTCTGGCATGAATCGCCATGTACCGGAGTTTCAGCGCGAACACTCTAACCGCGTTTAAAGATTTCCATTCCTTATGAATTCATCGAGTCGGAAGAACCCGATTTCAACATGAAAAAGCGAACACGAGCAATGTCAGTGGCGAGTTCCGACTTTCCGATGCCAAGTTTAACGAGGTCGCGTCTCTCGCCTTTAATCAAATATGAATCCCGCATGAAAGGTAATACATGTTTCCCTTCAGCTGGGATACGTGACATTTTCGTAATGACTTCGTTTCGTGTCGCCAGCCGTTGATGTTTTCCGTTGCGTATCGACCACGAGAAATTGGGTTAGTCGCGATTAAAGATGTCCATTTTATTGCGGTAGACGACGACATCCGCGGATTATCCTGGTGCGAACCCAAGCCGCGAACAACCTCGGGAATCCGTTCTTGCACCCTCTGCTGGGCTCCATTGTCCTCTCCCTCGACGGCCTTCGATGCGCTTTCTGTACTTTTCATCTCCCGTTTCAACATGTAGCAGCTTTTTCTCCTCGGGAATACGAAAGGAATATTCCTGAAGGAAATTCTTGTGAAGACAGATCTATCATGAACTCGTGTACAGGTTAAATTCGTATTATCAATCAAATTATTGAGGAAGAATTTTATTTTTATAATGTAGATATCAATTATAATTATTTCGTAATTTTAGTTTCAATTATTAGTCTAAGTTATTATATCTTATACATCATTGGGCAGAATACAAATTAAAATTCGAGATACACAGAATGCCTCTTGTCGAATGAATAGATGATAACGAATTTTATGTACGCTATTGATCAAATAAATTACTAACTTTAATTTACGGGTCAAAGTCTTACCTAATATCGAATGAACAAATGATAAACAACTTTTCATATAACTATTGCGAGCCGAGGTCTGAAAGGCTTATTTTGAAGGCTTCTTTTGGACAATTCGTTAATGAGGATGTGTGTTTATACGCATGGGTTAAACGCATGGGTTTATATACCTTAAATTCAGTTAAAACGGTAGTAGAAGTCGTTTCTGTGATTCCCGTATGTGGAGATGCGTAGGGACACGTGTCGCCTATTTTCTGAGTAACAACTTCATCGGAGGGCCGCGGCTACATCCGCTCGAAAGGGTAAATGTCATGCAGAAGAGGTTTGATAGAAATGACGAAACGGAGTGAAGTCTCCGTACGTAACGTAGTACTGTTAAAATAAGAATTAAAATTTGAATTACAAAAAGACAGCCTCTCGTTCAATAAATAAAACATAATTACTGATATACAACTGTATGTTTACTGTAGTCAAATCAAGAATAGTAACGCTTAGCCACCTATGTTACTAATTTGGTTTTTTTTTCGAACTCCTAGCCATTAACATATAAAAATATATTTGGCTGAAATATCATTCCAATAAATACTAATATTGTAAAGGTTGCCTATCACGAAATCTCTGTTTTAATTTCTGTAGCGAAAGTCGACGCGTTGAGCCTTCGACTTCGTTGGTAAGCGGTCAACCGATTCCTATCTACCATTAGACCACAGCTTTACACGTACAAGTTTGAAAGTGTGACGGAAAGCGAGTGACCATCACCGACGGGCGGATGTCCGGGATTTACACGCGGATTTACGACGCCTGGTCGCGAAATTACGGTGAAATTGAACTAGCTTCCCAGGAATCGTTCGTGAAATTCCTCTCATCAGAGCGCACGGTCAAGCGTGGGAAAATTAACGAGAAATCCTCGTTATAATATGTAACGTTTGCAAGCTGCTTCACGATTAATTCTGTGGCTCCTTTTATTCAAGACTGTACTCCATATTTAAATACTATATTAATTATATTTATTGCCATTAAATGTTTAAATCAGTTTTAAACCCACTGAGATTATATATTACTTTGAATAATCTATGATCGTATATAATAGTGGGATATTATGGAGTAAAAAGGCAAGCCAGGAACAGTTTTTAGAATTATTTCACTGAAACTTTTTTGATTGAATAGATATCATAACCCATTGTATGCAACTGAATGCTATTGACGTTTAATTCCTATTATTGTTCAGTGGAAAATTGAATTTTCTGCAAAATATTTAACTGCGAACAATGATTGCTGACCTACCAACCATTTTTTGTAAAATTTTCTTGTTATTAAAACTTGTTCTAGCCAATATTTTGATTAAATTGGAGAATATTGGAATTAAATTGCTATTAGAGTTTTGATTTTTATTGACGGTTGATATTTTAAGATGATAAACATCTGTGAACACGTGTAAAATAATTGCATTGTCTGTAGAGCTTTTTCGTGAACAATGTCGAAATGTCGAAAAATAATTATAAGCTCACAGTTCAACTTTCCTATCATAATTACAAACCCTTCCTAATTTATAGTGTTCAATAGCATTGTTCAGAAAATTTTATACCAGTAATGTTTCG